ATAAATACCTCAGGAGTACACATACTAAATTGAGTCTTTTCAAATGGCCCTTTAACACCAGAAATATCAAGTTCTGAAATAGTTTTACCCAAAGCCTTTGGATTTTGTTCAGAAACAATAATAGGAACATTTAAAAGCTTTAATGCATTTATCTATGAACATAACATATATACACATTAACCTATGTTTTATCACATAACCTTGAATCTTTCTAAGTATAAAGTAGTATTAGGAATTTTGAAGTACTAAGGGTTCTATTAAACCATGTAAATCCTACATATATTTAATATTTATTTACCAGTTTTACTGAATTTTGTGTAATTTTTTCAAATTCAAACATAGCTTTAGCGAATTTTTCTTGCATATCACATATTAAGAGAACACTTTTCCCTTGTTTTAAAACCGCTTTCGTAGCGTTTATTGCCATATTTATAATAATCCTTGAAAAATTGCGTGAATGAAAATGCGAAATAAAACTGTATGTGATTCTGTAAAAGTTACAAGCAAACCAATCAACGAGGTCGTTGAGTAATGACGAATTTCTGTATCGCAAGCCCGCAAGCTAACATGTTTTCATGTTGTGACGCACGTGATATTATTCTGTGATATTCAAAGTTCATGGCCAGTTTTAGCTTTACTAACTTTAGACGTGTTGCATTTAATCGATTTTATACGAACCCCCTTGGTGCGCGAGCAACATAATAAAGTGCATAAGGATATTATAATAATTATCGTATTATAGTGAAAATATGTGCAAGCTTGAAAATATTGCTACATTTTAATTATACATTTCTGCAGGTTTAGTTCATTTTTCTACGTATTTTCTACATATTTTGATTGATCGGTCATATCTCTGTTTTCGTTTTTTGAATAAATACTGTTGACCGGTCAAGAGTATATCCATGTTTTTATACGTCATGTGTATACGTTGTGTGCTTTGTACGTTTGTAATATTACGTTTGTAATATTACGTTAGTAATATTTATTATTTCTCTAATTTTAATATTATTCATTTCCCTGGTCTCTTGATATTTTAATTAAAATTGGAATACTCTAATTATTGAAATATTGAATGTACTGAAATATTATACTGGTCAAATATTGAAGAAGAGCAGACAATAAAAATAATTGTTATATCGTCAACACATACGTACATATATAAGACACGAGTGATAAATTTCACGTAAATTAAATCGTGTAATGATTTATTTGAAAATTAATGATTTATTTATTTACACATATAATCTAGCATGTACGAAACATCGCGAGAGATTACTATCACGTACATTACGAATATAAGTTGTGATCGTAAAAATCAAAATATCTTAGTACCAAGCATGCGACAATTGTAAAAATATATTTGCAGAATATTGTTAAAGAAAAATTTATAGAACAAACGTGTGTTTTTCGTATCAATTTGTAAAACATTTTCTGATATTCGGAAATGTAAATTTAGTGATTTAAAGCGACTGGTTTCGCGCATGCGCAGTACCGTAGTACAGCGACCCAGGTGCGAGTCGGATATAGGAGAGCCATGCAGAGCAGCGACGAGCGCCAGTTGAACAATGTTGTTCCGAGTGATCGGATGTACGTCTTCGTTTTAAATACCGTCAGGCTGATAAGATTGATCTAATCAGTTGGTATAATGTTCGCGTACAGTTTAAATCAGGAATCGCACAAATTTTAACAATCTAGAACATTATTCCATTAGTCAGCTATTTCGTGTAATTCGATCGAATTTGTAAACAAAGAATGGCCGGGGAGCCTCGTGAAACCGGGCATATGAAGCCGTTGGTGCAGCTTTTTCCAAAAGCATCCGAGTGCGTGTACACGAGTTGTTATTGGTAAGTGTTTCAATGAGATTTGCATGATATTTTTAACCACAAAATTATTGATTTGAACAAATAAACATGTCGTATTGCGGTATATCCCGCGATGGATCGATACGTTGCGGTAGTACAGAGACGGCAGTGCGATATGCTGCCGCCATCTTTGAAATGTATGAAATATCCACGAATCGTGATACACTGTTCCGCTTTGAAAAGACCCGCGCATTTTCATGTTCTGCTTATTACTTGTAGAATTATAAATTTTGCTTTTTCCTTTTTTTTTTTTCTTTAATCTTTGGCTATAGCAGGAATGTAAGAATTGAATACGTTCCTTTGATTAATCATGCATGCGTGCTGGCAGATAGTTCTATAACCTTATTAAACGTGTTTATATAACATGTTTCATTCGTCCTTTAGTTCGTACGAGAATTTGCGATGTTTATTCTTGCTTAAAAAATGTACATAAATCTTTTTTCACGTATCTCGCAATCTTGTTTCCATCTTCTGCTCTACAAAGCTTTGAATACAATCTTCAGCATCAACAAGCCATGCGATCCATCATTTATATTGAACAATATTTTTGCGTACTGTTATATTTCATGTAATTTCCATTCACTTGCACGTACTTCGCCAATGTTCTACATTGGGAAATATACTGCACCTCCATTTCTG